CAAAATGTGACAGCGATGCGAAACTCAACAATGAATGCGCTGGGCCGCATAGAATGTAAACAAGACGATGAGACGCGGAATGCCCTCTGTGTCGTAACGGTTGTGTAAGAAGTCATTTTATGGGGTTTTTTTTTGTTTTACGCGGAGACACGCATTGTATTGTACGCGAAGGAGATGGATTATCTGGTACTGGTAGGAACCTCCTGGTTACACCAGCCCACAGGGGATTATTGTGTCTGTCTGTCCGTCCGTCGTGCATCCAGAGGGGCTGGGTGGGGAGGGGCTGGGTGGGAAGGGGGAGGGTGGGGAGGGTGGGGAGGGGCTGGGTGGGGAGGGTGGGGCTGGGTAGGGAGGGGCTGGGTGGGGAAGGTGGGGCTAGGTGGGGAGGGTGGGGCTGGGTGGGGGGTGGGAGGGGTGGGGCTGGGTGGGGAGGGGCTGGTCACCCCGTGGTGCCCTTATAAAACTCAACGTTTAACCTACTCACGCCGGCTTGTGCCCACCCTCACAGTCGGGCATATTTGCGGAATACACCACGCCGCCGTTGACCCTGCAGGCCATTGACCGAGCAACCCAACGTTCCTACCAGCTCCCTCCGCAGGAATGTGTTAATTATTCTGTCATTCTCCACAGCAGAGCTGCGTGTGAGCCTTTTGTGTCGCGTCTGTGACATCACTTCCTGTGATGTCCATCACTTCCTGTGACGTCAAAACTTTCGGATAGCGGAATTTTTCTATTTTGTTATTTGCACCGTTCAAAATGCGAATTGCATCTCGGGTTTCGGTTGAATGATTCCGTTAAATCAGGAGTCTAGGTGGTGTCTGTGACATCACTTTTCGTGACATCAAATTTTCGGATCGTGGAATGTTATTAGTTATTTCTAATTAGCAATATCTGAAAATTGAATATTGGGTCTCGTGCTCGGTTTATGATTCCGTAAAAACCGGGAAGGCTAGCTGGCGTCTGTGACCTCTAACTTTTGAATCGCGGAATTTTTTTATTTGCATCTTTCAAACGATGAATTGTGCCGCCTGGTTCGGTTGAACGATTCCGTAAAAACCGGGAGTCTTGGCGGCGTCTGTGACGTCGCTTCCTGTGACACCCGTCACGTCCTGTGACCATCATACTTTCGGATCGCTGAAATGTTATTGCTTATTTTTAATTCGCGATAGATTAAACAAAAAAATTGGGTCTCGAGTTCGATGGTGTCTGTGACATCACTTCCTGTGACATCGAACTATCGGATCACGGATTATTATTTATTTGATCTTTTTCTTTACATTCGCGTCGTACGAGAAAAAAAAAATTGCGTTTTCAGCGGCGTCGTCAGCATCGCCTTTAGATGCATTGCTTGCAGTTGCGGTCGTAGTCACGACCTTGGCACTAGCCGCGGTGATGAGGAGGGGGGTGGCAGGAGGGGGCCCTTGTTTTGCTGGGGGGGAGGGGGGGGGCGCGATGAAATCGTCGTTCCGTGCCGGTCGCCCGCCTTGGTTCACCTTGCCGCGTCAACGTGCGTTGGGGTCGCTGTGTCGTCATCGTCGTCGCCATCGTCGTCGTCATCTTCGTCGTCGTCATCCTTCACGGCTCGCCAGCCGCAGTGGGGGAAACAAAAAATAAGTATAACCCGTAAAAACAAAGTTTTTCACTATAAATCCTTTATATGCGTGGCGGCTAGAGTCCTCTCGTCCTCTGGCTTGAGATGGCTGCCACCTATGGGTCAGATGATTGCCTGCCACCATTAAGCAATTGGTAATTAAATATAATTTTTTTTGTCCTAAAAAGTGTAAAATTTTGGGAAAAAATTTTCACGAACATTATTTGTCACACACAACGAGTCTGTGGAAAATGTCAGCTCGATTGGATCACGGGAAGTGGGTTAAAAAACGACCGAAAGATTTGCACGGTCGTAAGCGCGCAAGCAAGTGAACTTAATATAAAGGATTTAAAAATATATATCGACGTATATATATTAAAGGGAAATTTGTGATTATGTGTGTCTGTTCGAAATGTTTAGCGTACTTCCCGACATGCAACAAAGTTGAAATTTGGCATGTGGGTAGCTTCCAGACTGTACACAATGCAAAACGTATTAAAAAAGACTTTTGTATTTTTGGGGGGGGAGAGGGGTGGGGTGCAATTATGGATGTAATATTTTGCACGGCAAGTGAGCGGTGACGTCACATACGTGACGTCACAGATGTGATGTCACCCGTCACGCACCCCCCCCCCCCCACCCTCCGCGTGGGCCGTGTATTAATCCAAGAACAGGTCCCTGCGGGGTGGGCTGGTAGGAACGAATAAGCAAAGAATATAAACATAATGTATTATTACACTTGTTTAGCCAGGAAAGCCCCGCTGAGTCTACAGGTTTTTGTAGGGTCCTGCCAAGTGTTTGCAGTAGGGGGCGATGTTGCTACACCTCATCGGACAATACGAAGGGAGAGTTTGAGGCCTAGCTCTAGGCTTTAGGCCTAGCTGTAGGCTTTAGGCCGCTGTGAGTTAGTTTTTAATTAAAACATTTAAATTAAAAATTATCTCAGGGAATGAGTTAGTTTTTAATTAAAACATTTAAATAAAAAATTATCTCAGGGAATTATAAGGGAATGTTACACTTGTTTAGCCAGGAAAGCCTCACTGATTCTAAAGGTTTTTGTAGGGTCCTGCCAAGTGTTTTCAGTAGGGGGCGATGTTGCTACACCTAATCGGACATCGGACGGACGGACGGACGATATCATCTATTGTAGGCTGGTTCACTTCGTTCCTACCAGTATAAGAATCCAAGTCCCGGGCGAAGCCGGGTAGTGAAGCTAGTTAAATATAAAGAAATCTGCGAGGCCTCGGTTGCTTTGAGATCGTTATCCATGCTTCAATGGAAGTGAAAATTGGGGTTTCGTTGGTTTTGGCATCTGAAGTCGAGGCTCGTGTCTCGAGTTGAGAGCGGGTCTCTGGGTCGGCCCTGCTCCACCCATACCAGGTGACGATTACCCGATCTGGTTCCGGGCCTCCCCTAGGTCGACTCCGCCTCAAGCGATTACCTGCTCCGATTCGTACAAACTGGGCCTCTGATGCCGACCGACCGCCCGCCGGCCCGCCACAGGGGCGGCCTTCACAGCTGCTACTCGACAACAGCACTTGCCCCCCAAACAGTCTGTTCCAGGCTACACGGGGGATCTTTGTCTGTGCGTGCGTGTGGTTACAGCCGGAATTGTAACTTTGCTGCGGCCACCGCGCGCGGCCGAGTGTTTGTTTCCAAGATAAAGCGCCCGTGGTCGGCTTGAGGTTTTCTGAGCGCGGTTTGTTTGTCAACTGTAGACGTTGGGGTCCGGGGGGGGGGGTGGCGGCTGCTGCTGCTGCTGCTGCTGTGTGTGGATACAGTTACAATGACGATGACGACAACGACGACAATGACGACGACGACAATAATGACGACAACATCCACGACGACAATAACGACGACGACGACGATGACGACCAGTGCGCCGGGCGACAAACGCAGTCGGCGTGTGGGCCCCGCAGCACGGTGCATCGGGCTGTCATGGCGGTCGCGCTACGACCCGGGCCCATCCCGACCCCTCCTCATCGGTCCCTCCTCGTTTGGCCGCATCATCGAAACCGTCCCAGCGCTGTGCAGCGACCCACCTCTCCGCTTCAAGTCCTTTATCACGCCCGTGTGCAACTTGGCGATCGCTGAAAGGCGCCTCCGGTAAACTCCAATAAGATGAGCCGACCCATGGCACCTGGGTCTGTCCCGGGCAGAGGTCGCAAACGGGTTTAGATTCCTTACCCGTACCCGGCCGGGTATCGGGTAGGGTGCGGGTACGAGTACCCGATTGCGACCTCCTGGGATGAAGCCATGTTGCAGACGCGGGTGGGTTGATTCTAGGAACTTGAACTGTGAGAAGAGACAAGACGTTGGGAAATGAGTGACAAACGGTTACTCACCAGTGACTCACGGCCTACCCGTACCCGGCCGGGTATCGGGTAGGGTACGGGTATCTGGTACCCGGTTGCGACCTCTGGTCCCGTGACGCTCCATGCCAGTGGGCGTTCGACAGCTTCACGCGGCCCTCAGCGCCGGGGTGACGTCGCGAATGGCGGTTGTTGTTGTTGTTTGTTGGATGTAATTAATAATCCCCACCACCTCCGATTCTCTCTCGGCAAGCTCGGTAACGGCGCAGCCTCCGGCGTATTTGGCTACCGGCGAGGCAACCCCGGGGGCGGCACGGCCAGCGATGCCGCCCTCGGTGAGAGCCGCCGCTCGCCGGATGGTGGCGGCGCTCCTCCTGAGATTTCACCGACTCGTCAAACGCGGGAAATGCTGCCCAAAGTGTCGTTTTTGTTTAAAGCGATGGTTGGGGGATGGAGGTGGCGGTGGTGGGGCCGGGTGGGTGGTGGGTGGGTGGGGTGTGTGTTTAGGAAACCACTGAAACTAAACCACGTTTTCTTGGTTCTTTCGGTAAAGTCGCGTAGAAGGGAAATAATAAAATAATAAAAATAAAACATAATAAAATACAATTCTCACGACGTTTCGGCCACAACGCAAGCAGCCGTCCTCAGGTGAAGAACAGGTCTGTCGGAAAGACGCTGTCTGAATGAAGCTGTCTTTCCGACAGACCTGTTTTATTTTTATTATTTTGTTATTTCCCTTCTACGTGACTTTACCGAAAGAACCAAGATGAAGGGGATTTTTTGTCTTTGTGAGAATTGAGGGTGGAGCGGTGGTGCAGCGGTTAGCGCCACGCTGCGCTAAAGACCCGGCGACCCGAGTTCGATTCCCGCTCACGGCCACCAAACACCGGCGACGATTATCCCAACCGGTCCTGGGCCTCCCCTAAGGTCGACTCGGCCTCAAACGAGTACCCGGTGCGGTGCGCGAACATCGCCGCCGGGGAGACAAAGGCGGCCGGGCGTGGTGCCGCCCTTCATAGCTCGCAGCTCTTGCCCCGACGGTGTGTGACAGGCTACGCGGGGCTTCTTTGTCTTTGCTTTGCGCGCTGCGCTAGAGCTGCCCGAGAACTGGACGGACACGAAGGAGACGCTGCTGGAGGGGATGTCCTTCCACCTCAAGGAGCTGGGCTCCACCCTCGTGGACGCGCCCAAGGGGGAAGAGCTCACGGCACTCGCCGTCAAACGCATCGTGGCCATGGTGGGTGGGAGGGTGGGTGGGTGGGTGGGTGGGTGAGTGAGCGAGCATGGTGAGCGGGTGGGAGGGTGGGTGGGAGGGTGGGTGGGTGGGTGGGTGGGTGAGTGAGCGAGCATGGTGAGCGGGTGGGTGGGTGGGTGAGCGTGTGGGTGGGTGGGTGGGTGGGTGGGTGAGCGTGTGGGCGGGTGGGTGGGTGAGCGTGTGGGCGGGTGGGTGGGTGAGCGTGTGGGCGGGTGGGTGGGTGAGCGTGTGGGCGGGTGGGTGGGTGAGCGTGTGGGCGGGGCGGGTGGGTGGGTGGGTGAGTGAGCGGGCGTGGTGAGCGTGTGGGTGGGTGGGTGTGTGGGTGGGTGGGAGGGTGGGTGGGTGAGCGTGTGGGTGGGTGGGTGTGTGGGTGGGCATGGTGAGCGTGTGGGTGAGGTGAGCGTGTGTGAGTGTGTGGGTGGGCATGGTGAGCGTGTGGGTGGGTGAGCGTGTGGGAGGGTGGGTGAGTGAGTGAGCGGGCATGGTGAGCGTGTGGGTGGGTGTGTGGGTGGGCATGGTGAGCGTGTGGGTGAGCGCGTGGGTGAGCGTGTGGGTGAGTGAGCGGGCGTGGTGAGCGTGTGGGCGGGTGGGTGAGCGGGCATGTGGGAGGGTGGGTGAGTGTGTGGGCGGGCATGGTGAGTGAGTGGGCATGGTGAGCGTGTGGGTGGGTGAGCGGGCATGGTGAGCGAGCATGGCGAGCGTGTGGGCGGGTGAGTGAGTGAGTGAGTGAGTGAGCGGGCATGGTGAGCGTGTGGGTGAGTGAGCGGGCATGGTGGGTGGGTGAGCGTGTGGGCGGGTGAGTGAGTGAGGGGTCATGGTGGGTGGGTGAGTGTGTGGGTGGGTGGGTGAGTGAGCGGGCGTGGTGAGCGTGTGGGAGGGTGAGTGAGTGAGTGGGCATGGTGAGCGTGTGGGTGGGTGAGTGAGTGAGTGGGCATGGTGAGCGTGTGGGCGGGTGAGTGAATGAGGGGTCATGGTGGGTGAGTGAGTGAGCGGGCGTGGTGGGTGGGTGAGCGTGTGGGCGGGTGAGTGAGTGAGGGGTCATGGTGGGTGGGTGAGTGTGTGGGTGGGTGGGTGAGTGAGCGGGCGTGGTGGGTGGGTGAGCGTGTGGGCGGGTGAGTGAGTGAGGGGTCATGGTGGGTGGGTGAGTGTGTGGGTGGGTGGGGTGAGTGAGCGGGCGTGGTGAGCGTGTGGGCGGGTGAGTGAGTGAGGGGTCATGGTGGGTGGGTGAGTGTGTGGGTGGGTGGGTGAGTGAGCGGGCGTGGTGAGCGTGTGGGCGGGTGAGTGAGTGAGGGGTCATGGTGGGTGGGTGGGTGAGCGTGTGGGAGGGTGAATGAGATGAGAGGGGAGAGGTCGGGGAGTGCACGGAGAAGAGTGGAGTTAGTTGAGAGGGCGTGGCGCTGGTGGCGGTGTTAGCGGAGTGGCGCTAGTGGCGTTGCTAGCGGAGTGGCGCTGGTGGCGGTGTTAGCGGAGTGGCGCTAGTGGCGTTGCTAGCGGAGTGGCGCTGGTGGCGGTGTTAGCGGAGTGGCGCTGGTGGCGGTGTTAGCGGAGTGGCGCTAGTGGCGTTGCTAGCGGAGTGGCGCTAGTGGCGGTGTTAGCGGAGTGGCGCTAGTGGCGGTGTTAGCGGAGTGGCGCTAGTGGCGTTGCTAGCGGAGTGGCGCTAGTGGCGTTGCTAGCGGAGTGGCGCTAGTGGCGGTGTTAGCGGAGTGGCGCTAGTGGCGGTGTTAGCGGAGTGGCGCTAGTGGCGTTGCTAGCGGAGTGGCGCTAGTGGCGTTGCTAGCGGAGTGGCGCTAGTGGCGGTGTTAGCGGAGTGGCGCTGGTGGCGGTGTTAGCGGAGTGGCGCTAGTGGCGTTGCTAGCGGAGTGGCGCTAGTGGCGTTGCTAGCGGAGTGGCGCTAGTGGCGGTGTTAGCGGAGTGGCGCTAGTGGCGGTGTTAGCGGAGTGGCGCTAGTGGCGTTGCTAGCGGAGTGGCGCTAGTGGCGTTGCTAGCGGAGTGGCGCTAGTGGCGTTGCTAGCGGAGTGGCGCTAGTGGCGTTGCTATCGGAGTGGCGCTAGTGGCGTTGCTAGCGGAGTGGCGCTAGTGGCGTTGCTAGCGGAGTGGCGCTAGTGGCGTTGCTAGCGGAGTGGCGCTAGTGGCGTTGCTAGCCGAGTGGCGCTAGTGGCGTTGCTAGCGGAGTGGCGCTAGTGGCGTTGCTAGCGGAGTGGCGCTAGTGGCGTTGCTAGCGGAGTGGCGCTAGTGGCGGTGTTAGCGGAGTGGCGCTAGTGGCGTTGCTAGCGGAGTGGCGCTAGTGGCGTTGCTAGCGGAGTGGCGCTAGTGGCGGTGTTAGCGGAGTGGCGCTAGTGGCGTTGCTAGCGGAGTGGCGCTGGTGGCGTTGTTAGCGGAGTGGCGCTGGTGGCGTTGTTAGCGGAGTGGCGCTGGTGGCGTTGCTAGCGGAGTGGCGCTGGTGGCGTTGCTAGCGGAGTGGCGCTGGTGGCGTTGCTAGCGGCGTGGCGCTGGTGGCGTTGCTAGCGGAGTGGCGCTGGTGGCGTTGCTAGCGGAGTGGCGCTAGTGGCGTTGCTAGCGGAGTGGCGCTAGTGGCGTTGCTAGCGGAGTGGCGCTAGTGGCGTTGCTAGCGGAGTGGCGCTAGTGGCGTTGCTAGCGGAGTGGCGCTAGTGGCGTTGCTAGCGGAGTGGCGCTAGTGGCGTTGTTAGCGGAGTGGCGCTAGTGGCGTTGCTAGCGGAGTGGCGCTGGTGGCGTTGTTAGCGGAGTGGCGCTGGTGGCGTTGCTAGCGGCGTGGCGCTGGTGGCGTTGCTAGCGGAGTGGCGCTGGTGGCGTTGCTAGCGGAGTGGCGCTAGTGGCGTTGCTAGCGGAGTGGCGCTAGTGGCGTTGCTAGCGGAGTGGCGCTAGTGGCGTTGCTAGCGGGAGTGGCGCTAGTGGCGTTGCTAGCGGAGTGGCGCTAGTGGCGTTGCTAGCGGAGTGGCGCTAGTGGCGTTGCTAGCGGAGTGGCGCTAGTGGCGTTGCTAGCGGAGTGGCGCTAGTGGCGTTGCTAGCGGAGTGGCGCTAGTGGCGTTGCTAGCGGAGTGGCGCTAGTGGCGTTGCTAGCGGAGTGGCGCTAGTGGCGTTGCTAGCGGAGTGGCGCTAGTGGCGTTGCTAGCGGAGTGGCGCTAGTGGCGTTGCTAGCGGAGTGGCGCTAGTGGCGTTGCTAGCGGAGTGGCGCTAGTGGCGTTGCTAGCGGAGTGGCGCTAGTGGCGTTGCTAGCGGAGTGGCGCTAGTGGCGTTGCTAGCGGAGTGGCGCTAGTGGCGTTGCTAGCGGAGTGGCGCTAGTGGCGTTGCTAGCGGAGTGGCGCTAGTGGCGGTTGCTAGCGGAGTGGCGCTAGTGGCGTTGCTAGCGGAGTGGCGCTAGTGGCGGTGCTAGCGGAGTGGCGCTAGTGGCGTTGCTAGCGGAGTGGCGCTAGTGGCGGTTGCTAGCGGAGTGGCGCTAGTGGCGTTGCTAGCGGAGTGGCGCTAGTGGCGTTGCTAGCGGAGTGGCGCTAGTGGCGTTGCTAGCGGAGTGGCGCTAGTGGCGTTGCTAGCGGAGTGGCGCTAGTGGCGTTGCTAGCGGAGTGGCGCTAGTGGCGTTGCTAGCGGAGTGGCGCTAGTGGCGGTGTTAGCGGAGTGGCGCTAGTGGCGTTGCTAGCGGAGTGGCGCTAGTGGCGTTGCTAGCGGAGTGGCGCTAGTGGCGTTGCTAGCGGAGTGGCGCTAGTGGCGTTGCTAGCGGAGTGGCGCTAGTGGCGTTGCTAGCGGAGTGGCGCTAGTGGCGGTGCTAGCGAGTGGCGCTAGTGGCGGTGCTAGCGGAGTGGCGCTAGTGGGCGTTGCTAGCGGAGTGGCGCTAGTGGCGGTGCTAGCGGAGTGGCGCTAGTGGCGTTGCTAGCGGAGTGGCGCTAGTGGCGTTGCTAGCGGAGTGGCGCTAGTGGCGTTGCTAGCGAGTGGCGCTATTGGCGTGCGAGGGCCGGAGTCGCTAGAGGAGTGCCGGCAGTGGGCGGTGCTAGCGGAGTGGCGCTAGTGGCGGTGCTAGCGAGTGGCGCTAGTGGCGTTGCTAGCGAGTGGCGCTAGTGGCGTTGCTAGCGGAGTGGCGCTAGTGGCTTGCTAGCGGAGTGGCGCTAGTGGCGTTTGCTAGCGGAGTGGCGCTAGTGGCGTTGCTATCGAGTGGCGCTAGTGGCGTGCTAGCGGAGTGGCGCTAGTGGCGGTGCTACGGAGTGCGCTAGTGCGTTGCTAGCGGAGTGGCGCTAGTGGCGTTGCCTAGCGGAGTGGCCGCTAGTGGCGTTGCTAGCGGAGTGGCGCTAGTGGCGTTTGCTAGCGGAGGTGGCGCTAGTGGCGTTGCTAGCGGAGTGGCGCTAGTGGCGTTGCTAGCGGAGTGGCGCTAGTGGCGTTGCTAGCGGAGTGGCGCTAGTGGCGGTGTTAGCGAGTGGCCGCTAGTGGCGTTGCTAGCGGAGTGGCGCTAGTGGCGTTGCTAGCGGAGTGGCGCTAGTGGCGTTGCTAGCGGAGTGGCGCTAGTGGCGGTGTTAGCGGAGTGGCGCTAGTGGCGTTGCTAGCGGAGTGGCGCTAGTGGCGTTGCTAGCGGAGTGGCGCTAGTGGCGGTGTTAGCGGAGTGGCGCTAGTGGCTTTGCTAGCGGAGTGGCGCTAGTGGCGTTGCTAGCGGAGTGGCGCTAGTGGCGGTGTTAGCGGAGTGGCGCTAGTGGCGTTGCTAGCGGAGTGGCGCTAGTGGCGTTGCTAGCGGAGTGGCGCTAGTGGCGGTGTTAGCGGAGTGGCGCTAGTGGCGTTGCTAGCGGAGTGGCGCTAGTGGCGTTGCTAGCGGAGTGGCGCTAGTGGCGTTGCTAGCGGAGTGGCGCTAGTGGCGGTGCTAGCGGAGTGGCGCTAGTGGCGTTGCTAGCGGAGTGGCGCTAGTGGCGTTGCTAGCGGAGTGGCGCTAGTGGCGTTGCTAGCGGAGTGGCGCTAGTGGCGGTGCTAGCGGAGTGGCGCTAGTGGCGTTGCTAGCGGAGTGGCGCTAGTGGCGTTGCTAGCGGAGTGGCGCTAGTGGCGTTGCTAGCGGAGTGGCGCTAGTGGCGTTGCTAGCGGAGTGGCGCTAGTGGCGGTGTTAGCGGAGTGGCGCTGGTGGCGGCGTGGCGCTGGTGGTGGTGCTATCGGCGTGGCGCTGGTGGTGTTGGTGGTGTTAGTGGAGTGGTGCTGGTGGTGCTAGTGGAGTGGTGGTGGTGGTGGTGCTAGTGGAGTGGTGGCGCTGGTGTTGTTGTTGTTGTGTGCAGGCGAAGGCGAGTGGCAGGAAGCTGCGCAAGGTGACGGTGACCGTGTCGCCCAAAGGCCTCGTGCTGCACGACGCGTGCAGCGCCGAGCTGCTGGACAACATATCCATCTACCGGTGAGACTACACGTGTGTGTGTGTGTGTACACGTGTGTGTGTACACGTGTGTGTGTGTGTGTGTACACGTGTGTGTGTGTGTGTACACGTGTGTGTGTGTGTGTACACGTGTGTGTGTGTGTGTGGTCTGGAGTGATTGGAAGGCATGGGCCAGATCAGCTCAATAACAACGGCAGGAGGCTGCTAGAATTTTGTGCAGCCCATGGGCTTGTAATTACCAACACGCTGTTCAGGCATCGGCGCATCCACACAACATCATGGATGCATGCCGGGTCCAAGCAAGAACATCTGCTTGACTACATAGTGACGGACCAGCGGATGCGAGCCCATGTCCTTGACACCAGGACCTACCGTGGAGCTCATCTGCCCTCTGACCATCGACTAGTCATCTGTAAGATGCGCCTGCCATTCTTCCATTCCGGTGGTGAGTGTACACCCAGGACCCCATTCCAACCAAAAGTGGCCTGGTCTCAGTTAGCTGATGAAAGTTGCAAGCGAGAATTTCATCATCGCTTGCAGCTGGGATTGGCATCGTCCCCCACTCCTCCTGATATCGAGGGTAAATGGGCGAGGTTTAGGACTGTGACTCATGCAGCTGCAATGGCTGCTTTTGGTACGTGGTCCAGACCTCCCCAGAAACCCTGGCTGACAGAGGAGGTGTTCAGGTTAGTTGAGAAAAAGCGACAGGCCCACTCTCATCGGCTACAGCATCCCACGTCAGAGAATGAGGAGGTTTACCGCAGCCTTCGCTCGGAGGTTCGGAGAGCCGTAAGGCGCTGTAAGGATGGGTGGTGGTCGCGGGTTGCTGAGGAGATAGTCTGCCTCAGTGGCCCGCGATCACAAAACACTATTTAACTCCATCAAAAAAATAACCTGCAGCGCCACACCTATTACCATCATTAGGGGAAAAAACGGTAATCCAATCTCCGACCCCCAGGAACAGGTTTGCAGATTTGCTGAGCATTTCTGTGAGGTCCTGGGGGAGGGGAAATCGCTCAGCCAGGAAAACATCATGGCACAAAGTGGGGATAACCCTGCTGAGGCTGCGGTGCCTCAAATATTGGAAGAGGTCACCCCCTGTGAGTGACTGGCTGAGGGTGCCATCTGTTGAGGAAGTACTGAAGGCGATCCGGAGTCTGAGACCAGGAAAGGCACCGGGCAGAGATGATCTCCCAAGCGAAATGCTGAGGGAGGGTGGCGTTTGTGCACAGACTGCCCTACATGACATGATAACAACAGTCTGGACCACTGGATGGGTTCCGCAGGATTGGAAGGATGCCCTGGTGGTCCCCCTCTTTAAGAAGGGGGACCGCACAGACTGTAACAACTGTAGTGACATAAGAAGGGAGGGGCTGCTGGGGGCTCTGGGACCCTGGGTGTGTCAGATGCTTAAGCCTCTTGGCGTCAGGCGTTGAGTTCCCAGGCGCTTAATCCCCTTGGCGCCGCCAAAGGGGGGGGCTGTGTGTGCTGTGTGGGATATCTGGGGGCGCACATGGCCCCACCCCTCGTTGGGGACTGGGCATAAAAGCGGAGCTCCCTGGACGATCAGGGCCAGTTGTAGCTCAAGACCCAAGACCAGCCATCTCAGGACCCTGGGATGCTGTGAGAGCCAGTGGTGGGACTCTGGAACTCCCGACTCTACGACCTTGTGAGGGCGAGTTCCAGAGCGTAGCCAGAGTAGTGTATCTAGGCCGTGTACCTAGGCTGTGTACCTAGGCTGTAACAGAGTATCAGGACTGTTGTAGAGTTGGAGTGTTGGATCGTAATAAAGAAGTTACCTCTACAAGTGTCTCCGAAACCCGTTACATTTGGCATCAGAAGTGGCTATGGAGACAAGAAGTAAGCCACGTACCTTCAGTACTGACGGCGATGTCGAGGAACAAGCAGCGATGGGGCGGCCAACGCCGGCCGACAGCGACGCTGCACCGCCGACTGAACAGCTGTCTGCTCCGCCGACCGTCCCCTCTCCAGCGTCGGGAGCAGCGATGGAGGAGGCACTGCTTCGCCTCACTGAGCTGCTCCACGCCACCGTCTCCATCCTGGACGACATGCGTCGCTCACAGGCGGAGGCAGGAGGGAGAGAGGCGGCACAGCGGCCGCGCCATTCCGTCGGCTCCAACACAAAGATGGCAGCCGTTCCCGGCACAAATACATCCGGGTGTGTCGTCACTTCTGCCGGGGGAGCAATGACCGCTGGGAGCAACGTCACTTCTGGGCTCAGCGCCGTCCAACCTAGCAATGCCGCGTTATCAGCGCTGCGTCCCTCACCGCCAGGTGACAGCTGTTTGCAACCTAGCAACGCCGCGTCATCAGCGCTGCGACCTTCACTGCCGGACGACAGCTGGCTTCAACCTAGCATAGCGCGTCATCAGCGCTGCGACCGGATAGTGAGGGCGCCATTCTTACTGTAACCGGCGCCAGGGCCGGCACATCGACCGACACGCTGGTCGCCGCCTTTGCTGCTCTGGCCAAAGGTTGGAGGTCGGGAGACCAGGCCCCTGACATTTCGTACATTTACGCGCTCCGGATTAATGATTTTTTTGTTGACATTTTCTTCGTTGTCGTCGGGGAGTCGTGATTGTTGTTGGGTAAACTGTGTGCAGCTTCGCTCGTGAGTGTTGTCAATGTGTGTGCGAAACTTTGCTTGTGATTGTTAACAATGTATGGTTTGTATTGAGCTTTGTTCGTGATTGTTAATGTATAGCTTGTGCTGTCATTGTTAACGATGTATATACTGTATGGGGCATTTATCTTGAGATGGTGACATGCTGCCAAGGATTTGGAATTGTCATGCTGGTTCTCAAATATCTTGGGGTGCAGATCCTGACCAGGATGGCCCAGCGTGTGTTGCGTGTCTAACACGAGAGTTGTGGTCCCGTCATGCTACAGCTGACGGCTTGACCTGACAGCCCGGAGATTGAAACACTCCGTGGCATGTCTAGCCTAGTGGGCTGTGCGCTCACAGGGCTCGGAGAGTGTGGTCCCGTCATGGAATAGCTGACGGCTTGACCTGACGGCCCGGAGGTTGGGACCCTCCGTGGTGCGTCTGGAGCAGTAGGCTCGCCCTGACGGCCCGGAGATTGAAACACTCCGAGGCGCGTTGAAACAGTGGGCTGGAGATTCGTGGTGTTCAGGTGTAGTTGTCCCGTTACGTTGGGACTGTATCCCTCAGTTGTTAGGGTGCATGTTGTGCAGGGAGTGAACGATGGGTCGTCTCAGCTCGGTCGGTACAACTATATGCTGCGATGCGAGTCTTGGAGAGAGACTAGGTCGTCTCAGCTCGGTCGGTACAGCTATATGCTGCGATGCGAGTCTTGGAGAGAGACTGGGTCTCAGCTCGGTCGGTACAGCTATATGCTGCGATGCGAGTCTTGGAGAGAGATTGGGTCTCAGCTCGGTCGGTACAGCTATATGCTGCGATGCGAGTCTTGGAGAGAGATTGGGTCTCAGCTCGGTCGGTACAGCTATATGCTGCGATGCGAGTCTTGGAGAGAGACTGGGTTGAAGTTCCCCCGATATGGCCGACACGTGCTACTGGTTGTGACGCCGCATCGGAAAGGCGGTGGGGTGGTAACACGGAAATTCCCCCCCGATATGGCCGACGTGCGGGGTTTTAAGATGGAGACGCCACGTTGGAAAGGCGGGGGGTGCTAATGGTTGACATGGAATGTCGGTGGTGGTTCTCATTGAGGGCTGCTGGGACGCAAGCACGGGATGCCTTGGAGATGTGGTTCGCGCGTGCCGTCACCATTTATGAACAGGAGCAGGCAGATTTATTTTGTTTGTGTCATGTAAATTGTATATATATATTTTAAAATGTAGATACTGGAGCAGCCCTGAAGTGCGACTTCTTTGCCCAGTACATGGGTCGGCCCTGAAGTACGACTTCTCGACCCGGGACGTAGACAGACGTCCGGATAAGTGTGTGTAGAGGGGTGCTCGACATGTTAGTCTTCGCCTTCTCTCCACCTGACAGATGGGAGGGTGGCAGGGTGGTGTGGATCCCTGCCATCCATGCGGTGGTTGTGCGATTTCGGTTCGATTACCGGTGTTGGTTGTGCATCCAATGCGTCGGAATCTGTATATTTGTTGTTGTTAATTCCCCGGTTTCTATGCGGATCCCGAGGAGGGCTAGGTGTGCCGCGGGTCGTTTGTTCACGTGTCATTGCTTCACCTTTTTGTTGATTGATGCTTGTATATAGTGTAGAGTTGTACAGGTTGGTTATGGTTTTTATGGTTGCTTTCTTGTTCTCTTTTCTTTTCCTGTTGAGACTCACGTATTTTTTTTTCTCTCTCTCCCTTTCGTTAATTTAAACTTTCTAATTATTGACAGCCGGGACGGCTGGAGGCTACGTAGAGGGGGGTAATGTAGTGACATAAGAAGGGAGGGGCTGCTGGGGGCTCTGGGTCCCTGGGCGTGCCAGGCGCTTAATCCCCTTGGCGCCGCCAAAGGGGGGGGCTGTGTTTGCTCTGTGGGATATCTGTGGGCGCACACGGCCCCACCCCTCGTTGGGGACTGGGCATACAAGCGGAGCTCCCTGGACGGTCAGGGCCAGTCGTAGCTCAAGACCCAAGACCAGCCATCGGAGGACCCTGGGACGCTGTGAGAGCCAGTGGTGGGATTCTGGAACTGACTCTACGACCTTGTGAGGGCGAGTTCCAGAGCATAGCCAAAGTAGTGTATCTAGGCTGTGTACCTAGGCTGTGTACCTAGGCTGTAACAGAGTATCAGGACTGTTGGAGAGTTGGAGTGTTGGATCGTAATAAAGAAGTTACCTATACAAGTGTCTCCGGAACCCGTTACACAACTACAGGGGCATCTCACTTCTCAGTGTGCCGGAAAAGGTCCTGGCAAGGATTATTCAACATCGCCTTGCTAGACACGCTGAAGAGTGGCTTGCGGAGCCCCAATGCGGTTTCAGGAAAGGGCGGTCCTGCACAGATGACATATTTTCTGTCCATCTGCTACAGCAGAGGTGTAGGGAATTCCAACAAGCCCTACACTTCTGCTTTATTGACCTGGTCAAGGCCTATGAAACCATCAGTAGGCCTGGGCTCTGGGCTGTTCTTCGTGTTTTCGGATTCCCTGACCCTCTGCTCATGATCATTAAGGACCTTCATGATGGTGAGCGGGCCCGGGTAAAACTACGTGGCCGGGAGTGGGAGCCTTTCCCTGTACACCTTGGGGTGCGACAGGGATGTCCTCTGGCTCCCACATTATTTAACATCTATTTTGACCGCGTAGTTCGTGAAGCCTTCAATAGCTGTACCAGGGGAATTTCCATTTGGTACAGATATAATGGGAGGCTGATCGATGCCCGGGTGCGATCAAGGGATGGCTCCCTATTGGTCAACCACGTTATGTATGCCGATGATTTGGTAATAGCTGCTCATTCAGAAGAGGAGTTGGAGACGCTGCTGCTGAGACTGGAGCGTGCCACTAAGAGGTGGGGCCTTACCATCAGCCCCACCAAAACTAAGCACCTGCCTGGGTATTTTGTACCATCGGACACTCCACCCCCACAACTCCCAATTGGTGATGGGGCAGTTATGGAGAGAGTGGAGAGTTTCCCATACCTGGGCAGTGTGCTTATGACCGGCTCCAGTTTATCAGCAGAGGTCTCACGCCGAATCAGTCGAGCGGCAATATCTTTTCATCGGTTGCGTAACGCTGTGTGGAAGCTACCTGGTCTGTCGCTCCGCACGAAGCTTCAGGTCTTCTCGGCCACGGTCATTCCCTCCCTTCTCTACGCTTGCGAAACGTGGACCCCCCTAGTGGAGCATCTTCGCTGGTTGGAAACATTTAGGCTGGCCTGCCTACGATCCATCCTGGGTTTAACCAGGCTGGATTGTGTGAGGAGCTCACAAGTCCTTGAAAGATCTGGGCAAAGTCCCATCAGTGAGCTCCTCCGGCAGGCAAGGCTGCGTTGGCTGGGTCATGTAGCCCGCATGCCCAGCCACCGCATGCCTAAACAGCTTTTGTTCGGCCGGATCGAGGGGGCTAAACGGGCGCGGCACGGGCTGGAGAAGAGATGGAGTGATGTGGTACAGGAGGACGTGGAGCTGAGTGGACTTGCCGATGACTGGTACCATCGGTGTCAAGATCGGCCTCGGTGGAAGAGGCTCGTGAAGGACGCTACTGGGCAGTTGGAGGCAGTCGCCCTCCAACAACAACGGAGGGCGGAGGAGCGACGCTCACAACAACGAGCGGAGCGCCGGGTGGCTAAAGCACAGCAAGTTGGTACAGTAGGGGGCACAGGTGGTGCATCAGCCAGTCATCTCGGTCATCTCGGTCAGTCGACCCGTGGCACCTGGGTCTGCCCCGTGACCTCCTGCCAGCGGGCGTTCGACACTTCACGTGGCCTCAAGGTGCACTTGGCCTGGAACAAGCGTCGTGGTGACGTCACCGCCACTTAGTGGCGAATGGCGGTTGTTGTTGTTGTTGGTGTGTGTACACGTGTGTGTGTGTGTACACTGTGTGTGTGTAGTATCTCGTACTGCACGGCTGACAAGGTGCATGACAAGGTGTGTGTGTACACTGTGTGTGTGTGTACACTTTGTGTGTGTGTCTGTGTGTGTGTAGCATCTCGTACTGCACGGCTGACAAGGTGCATGACAAGGTGTGTGTGTACACGTGTGTGTGTCTGTGTGTCTGTGTGTGTGTAGCATCTCGTACTGCACGGCTGACAAGGTGCATGACAAGGTGTTCGCCTTCATCGCTCAGAGCGGCCTCGACGACAACCTCGAGTGCTTCGCCTTCCTCTGCACCAAGAAGAAAGTGGTGACGCTCGCTCCTCACTACTCGCTCGCTCATCGCTCGCTCGCTCGCTCGCTCACTCACTCGCTACTCGCTCACTCACTCGCTACTCGCTCACTCAATCACTCGCTCGCTCAATCACTCCTCACTCACTCCCCAATCACTTCTCAATCACTCGCTCACTCACTGCTCGCTCGCTCACTTACTCACTCACTCACTCAATCACTCGGACACTCACTCCTCGCTCGCTCGCTCCTCACTCACTCACTCAATCACTCGGACACTCACTCCTCGCTCGCTCGCTCAATCACTCACTCCTCACTAAATCACTCAATCACTACTCACTCACTCCTCAATCACTTCTCACTCACTCGCTACTCACTCACTCAATCACTCGCTCGCTCACTACTCGCTCGCTCAATCACTCACTCAATCACTCACTCACTCACTCACTACTCACTCACTCACTCACTACTCGCTCACTCCTCACTTACTCCCCACTCACTCAATCACTCGCTCACTCACTGCTCGCTCGCTCACTTACTCACTCCTCACTCAATCACTCAATCACTCCTCACTACTCGCTCCTCACTACTCGCTCCTCACTCACTCCTCACTCAATCACTCACTTACTCACTCCTCACTCAATTACTCACTCACTCCTCACTCGCTCACTCGCTCGACCTAGGGGAGGCACAGGACCGGTTCAGATAACCGTCACCAGTTGTTGATGGCCGCGAGCGGGAATTCGTAGCGCAGCGCGGCGCTAACCGCTACACGACCACTCGCCCGCATCTCCCCCCTCCGTGTCTCTCCCCCCCACCCCCCCCCGTGTCTCCCCATGTCACCCCCCCGTGTCTCCTCCCCCCGTGTCTCCCCTGTGTTGTCTCCCCTGTGTTGTCTCCCCTGTCCAGGCCCAGGCGGTGACGCTGACGGTGGCCCAGGCGTTCCGCGTGGCGTTTGAGTTCTGGCAAGCGGCTAAGGAAGGTACGGCCATTTGAGACCCCCACCCACCCCCCCCACCCCCCCACCCCCCCCCCCACCACGCCCCCGGGGTCACCAGATGCTCGCCACAGCCGGGAATCGAACCCGGACAAACCTGGTTCGTAGCGCGGAAAGCTGCGCACTGCGCCGCAGTCCGCCGCACACACTTGTGCAAAAGACAAAGATCCCCCGTGTAGCCTTAAGAGACTGTCGGGGCAAGTGCTGTTAGCGACGAGCACCTATGAAGGCCGGCACGGCACACGAGCAGGTGGCCAGCACCAAGCCCGGCCGCCTTTGTCTCCCCAGTGGCGATGTTTACTCCACACCGCACCAGGTACTCGTTTGAGGCTGAGTCGGCCTAGGGGAGGCCCAGGACCAGTTCAGATGATCGTCACTGTGTGTTGGTGGCCGCAAGCTGGAATCTAACTCTGGTCGCCAGTTTCGTAGTGCCGCGCGCTAACCACTGCGCCACCGCTCCTCTCGCACACACAACAACAACAACAACCGCCATTCGCCACCGAAGTGGCGGTGACGTCACCACGACGCTTGTGCCAGGCTATGTGCACCTTGAGGCCATGTGAAGTGTCGAACGCCCGCTGGCAGGAGGTCACGGGGCAGACCCAGGTGCCACGGGTCGACTGACCGAGATGACCGAGATGACTGGCTGATGCACCACCTGTGCCCCCTACTGTGCCAACTTGCTGTGCTTTAGCCACCCGGCGCTCCGCTCGTTGTTGTGAGCGTTGCTCCTCCGCCCTCCGTTGTTGCTGGAGGGCGAATGCCTCCAACTGCCCAGTAGTGTCCTTCACGAGCCTCCTCCACAGAGGCCGATCTTGATACCGCTGGTACCGGTCATCGGCAAGTCCACTCAGCTCCACATCCTCCTATACCACATCACTCCATCTCTTCTCTAGCCCGTGCCGCGCCCGTTTAGCCCCCTCGATCCGGCCGAACAAAAGTTGTTTAGGCATGCGGTGGCTGGGCATGCGGGCGACATGACCCAGCCAACGCAGCCTTGCCTGCCAGAGGAGCTCACCGATGGGACTTTGTCCAGATTTTTCAAGGATTTGTGAGCTCCTCGCACAATCCAGCCTGGTTAAACCCAGGATGGATCGTAGGCAGGCCAGCCTAAATGTTTCTCACCGGCGAAGATGCTCCATTAGGGGGGTCCACGTTTCGCAAGACCTCTTAAGTCAAACCGGAGCCTTTCATGAGCACACTGCCCAGGTATGGGAAACTCTCCACTCTCTCCACAACTGCCCCATCACCGATTGGGAGTTGTGGGGGTGGAGTGTCCGATGGCACAAAATACCCAGGCAGGTGCTTAGTTTTGGTGGGGCTGATGGTAAGGCCCCACCTCTTAGTGGCACGCTCCAGTTTCAGCAGCAGCGTCTCCAACTCCTCCTCTGAATGAGCAGCAATTACCAAATCATCGGCATACATAACGTGGTTGACCAATAGGGAGCCATCCCTTGACTGCACCCGGGTATCGATCAGCCTCCCATTGTATCTGTACCAAATGGAAATTCCTCTGGTACAGCTTTTGAAGGCTTCACGAACTACGTTGTCAAAATAGATGTTAAATAATGTGGGAGCCAGAGGACATCCCTGTCGCACCCCAAGGTGTACAGAGAATGGCTCTGACTCCCAGCCACGTAGTTTTAGCCGGGCCCGCTCACCATCATGAAGGTCCTTGATGATCGTGAGCAGAGTGTCACACAGTTACACACACACAGTTACACACACACAGTCACACACACACACACAGTCACTCACACACACACAGTCACACACACACAGTCACACACACTCTCACTCACACAGTCAAACACACTGTCACACACACACAGTCACACACACACACACAGTTAGTCACACACACTCACACAGTCACACTCACAGTCACACACACACAGTCACACACACTCTCACTCACACAGTCAAACACACTCTCACACACACACTCTCACACACACTCTCACACACACACACTCTCACACACACACACTCTCACACACACACACTCTCACACACTCTCACACACACACACACACAGTCACACTCACAGTCACACACTCACACAGTCACATGAAACAAAGATCCCCCGTATAGCCTTAACAGACTGTAGGGGCAAGTGCTGTTAGCGAGCACCTATGAAGGCCGGAATGGTACACGAGGGGGTGGGTGGCCAGCACCACGCCCGACCGCCTTTGTCTCCCCAGTGGCGTTGTTTACACACCGCACCAGGTACTCATTTAAGGCTGAGTCGACCTAGGGGAGGCCCAGGACCGGTTCAAATGATCGTCACTGGTGTTGGCCGTGAGCGGGAATCGAACCCGGGTCGCCAGGTTCATAGCGCAGCGCGCTAACCGCTACACTACCGCTCCCCATTACACACAGTCGCACACACACAGTCACACACACTCACAGTCACACACTCACACAGTCACACTCACAGTCACACACACACACAGTCACACACACAGTCACACACACACACTCTCACTCACACACTCTCACACACACTCACACACACAGTCACAGTCACGTGTGCCCCTCTTGTTTGTGTCACCGGGTGCAGCTAAGGAAGGGGGCGCCCCCCCTCAGCAGAGTGGCGGTGGCGCCACGCGGAGCGGCACGGAGGGGGGGGCAGCCCCCCTCGGGGACGGTGAGTCAGAGCAGCGCCACTCGCTAACCCACTCGCTCACCTACTCACTCACTCGCTCACCTACTCACTCACCCACTCGCTCACCCACTCGCTCAACTACTCACTCACTCACTCGCTCACCCACTCACTCACCCGCTCACCCACTCGCTCACCCACTCGCTCACCTACTCACTCACTCACTCGCTCACCTACTCACTCACCCACTCGCTCACCCACTCGCTCACCCACTCGCTCACCTACTCACTCACTCACTCGCTCACCCACTCACTCACCCGCTCACCCACTCGCTCACCCACTCGCTCACTCACTCACCCACTCACTCACCCACTCACTCACTCACTCGCTCACCCACTTAACTCACTCACTCACTCACTTAACTCACTCACTCACTCACCCGCTCACCCACTCACTCACCCGCTCACTCACCCGCTCACTCACTCGCTCACCCACCCGCTCACTCACTCACTCGCCCACTCACCCACTCACTCATTCACCCACCCACTCACTCCCACACTCACTCACCCACTCACTCACCCGCTCACTCACTCTCTCACTCACTCACCCGCTCACTCACCCGCTCACTCACCCGCTCACTCACCCACTCACTCAGCCACTCACCCACTCACTCACTCACTCACTCGCTCACTCACTCACTCACCCGCTCACCCGCTCACCCGCTCACCCGCTCACTCACTCACTCACCCACTCGCTCACTCACCCACTTACTCACTCACCCACTTACTCACTCACTCACCCACTCATCCACTCACCCACCCACTCACTCACTCGCTCACCTCACTCACTCACACTCGCCCGCCCGCCCACTCGCCCGCCCACTCACCCACCCGCTCGCCCGCCACTCGCCCGCCCGCTCGCCCACCCAATTGCCCACTCGCCCGCCCGCCGTATTTCCCCTCGCCCCGCCGTGCGTCTCCCTGCGTCGTCTCTAATCTGCCCCCCCCCTCCCCCTCTCCCCCCCCCGTGTGTCCAGGGCCCCCCCTGGAGGGGGAGCCCCCCAAGGGGCCCCCCCCCTCCCTGCTGCTGGACCTATCCGAGTGCTCCGCTGCGGCCCCCTGGGGCGCCCCCCCCGGCGGGCCCCCCACCCCTCCTCCCGACTTCCCCCGAGCTGCTGCTGCCCACGCGGCGCCGCCCCCCCCTCCACAGGGGTGGGGGGCCACGGTGAGCACTTGGGGGGGGGGGGGGGGCAGGCGGGCGGTGGGCAAAGTGTGAGTGGGTGGGTGGGGTCAGTCAGTGGACGGGGGGGTGTGGGCAGGGGTGTGGGTGGGTGGGTGGGCGTGTGGGTGTGGGAGGGTGTGGGTGGGCGTGTGGGTGGGTGGGCGTGTGGGTGGGGTCAGTCAGTGGGCAGGGGTGTGGGTGGGTGGGTGTGTGGGTGGGTGGGTGGGCGTGTGGGTGGGGTCAGTCAGTGGGCAGGGGTGTGGGTGGGTGGGTGTGTGGGTGGGCGGGCGGTCGGGTGGGTGGGTGGGCGTGTGGGGAGCGGTAGTGCAGCGATTAGCGCTACGCCGCACTACGAACCCGGAGACCCGAGTTCGATTTCCCGCTCACAGCCAACACCACAGTGACGATTATCCGAACCGGTTCTGGGCCTCCCCTAGGTCGACTCGGCCTTAAACGAGTACCTGGTGTGCGGTGCGGTGTGTAAACATCGCCACTGGGGAGACAAAGGCGGCCGGGCGTGGTGCTGGCCACCCGCCCCCTCGTGTTAATCGATCGCAGCGTGTGTGGGCCGTGTACGCCTTGCAGAGCCAGCGGTGACAATTCCACATTGCTATGGCGGGGGGTTAAGTCTTATCGAAGGGACGATCGCCACTGTTGAATTTGCCCCAAGGTGGTGGTACTTGTTTTATCGACCCTGGAGGGATGATGGGCTGAGTGATTCTATCGCACCTCTGTCTGCCCGTCTCGCCGTAGGACTTTGACGACGACGATGATCTGGACGAAGCTTTCGGGAGGTGAGTTCAGTTCAGTTCATGTATTTGGTATATAACCCTGTGAGCCATACGGCTCTTGAATCGGGTGCAACCACAACAAACTGGAGGGTGGTTGAGTGGGTGCGTGGGTGAGTGGGTGCGTGTGAGTCGGTGTGAGTGGGTGAGGGTGTGAGAGGGTGAGTGGGGGTGAGGGGGGGTGGGTCGGGGTGTGAGTGTGTGGGTGGGTGGGTTCGTGGGTGGGCGAGTGGGTGAGTGTGAGTGGGTGAGGGTGCGATTGTCCACGGTTTTGCTAAAACACAGCAGGTTGGCACAGGACGCGTTGCGTTGTGGTGCATCGGCAAGTCATCTCGGTCGGTCAACCCCTGGCACCTGCTGGAACCGAGTTCAATTCCCGCTTACAGTCAATAACGGTGGCCAATGTGGGGTGGGGTGGGTGTGGTGGGTAGAGTGGGTGGGGTGGGTTTGGTGGGGTGGGTAGGGTGGGTGGGTGGTGGGTGGGTGGGTAGAGAGGGTGGGGTGGGTAGAGTGGGTGGGGTGGGGTGGGTGGGTAGAGTGGGGTGGGTGGGTAGAGTAGGTGGGGTGGGTTTGGTGGGGTGGTGGGTGGGTGGGTAGAGAGGGTGGGGGTGGTGGGTGGGTTTGGTGGGGTTGCTGAGACGAATCGGTCTGTGCCTGGTAGAGACTGAGTCCTCACCCCGCCTGCAGACTCGCGGAGCAAGGCTCACGGGAGCGGTAGCTGCAGCAGCAGTTGTCATCGTAGTAGCAGCGGCAGTAGTAGCAGCGGCAGTAGTAGTAGCAGCAGTAGTAGCATCAGCAGCAGTAGCAGCAGCAGTATGAGAGTGATGAGGAGGGTCCCCCGCCTGTGTGTGTTGTGTGTGTGGTGCGTGTGTGTTGTGTGTGTGTGGTGTGCGTGTGTGCGTGTGTGTTGTGTGTGTGTGTGTGCAGGTTGGCGCAGTCACGCACCAACCCGGAGGGCGTGGAGACCGGGACGGTGAGCGGCAGCGGCACCCTCGCAAGCCCTGCGTCCACCCTCGTGTCCACCCTCGGCAGCCCCGTGTCCACCCTAGCCAGCCCCGTGTCCCCCACAGAGGCAGGAGTTCTTCAGGTTCTGAGTCACCTAGAGCTCCCTACTCGGCCCTATTAAACCCCCCACCCCCCACACACACACACAAATATATCCATCCCTACACGTACGTACCCCCATATATACACACACCTACACCTGTACCCATTCACACACCTGCAGTTGTACATTCGTACAGGCGTACGTATAAATAACCCACGTATAGTACACACACACACACGTATGTACCTACCCCCATATATACCTACCCCCATATAGGTCTATAAAGCATGTATACTTCCACTTGGCTCTACACACACACACAATGACGTGTGCCTATATGTACGCGTGTGCGCACCAGTACATGTAGCCACACATTCAGCAAGTCGCTCGTTTGTGTACAGATATTATACGGCTAGCTACCTAGCCATATACACGCAAGCCTGTACACACACACACACCTCGATACACTTACACGTATCCATATAGTGTACATATCTATGCAGGCACCTATACACACTGAATCAGTCACCCACCCACACATCATTCACTCAACGCACTCGCACTCACCTGCCCACACACACCACCCGCCCACACACCCGCCCACCACCACACACCCACCCACGCACACACCCGCCCACCCACCCACGCACACACCCTCCCACGCACACACACACCCACGCCCACCCACACACACCCACGCCCACACCTGCCCACGCACACACACACCCTACGCACACACCCACACACACCCGCCCACCTCAGCAGTGTCTCTTGTCTGCACTGGGGCGTGTGTCTGTGTGTGTTTCCGCCCCGCGATCTGGACGTGCTGAGCACCGCTCGCCCAAACAGCGTCTCCTCCTCCTGCTCCTGCTCCTCACTTGGAACTCCTCGCTTCGACTCCCGCCGCTGGGCCGGCCTGCCGCAGGGCAACACAACACCCGGGGCACGGACAGTGTGGTGTGGGGGTGTGTGGGGAGATGTGGGGGGTGTGTGGGGGCGTCGCTTCTCATGGGAAGATTCTCCGGACTTGGCGTGTGGTGGATCGCTGGAACGGAGCGCGGGAGCAGTGGAACGTAAGGGTCCCCTACTGGCGGTGTGCGTCGCTGTGCCACGCGGGGGTGGGGTGGGGGTTCACGGGGGGTGGCACGGGTGGTCTGGGCGCGCGTGGCAACTTGAAACGCTCTTCGTGCGTGCGCGTGTCTTGAGTTGACGTGCTGCGTGTGAGAGCGTGTGAGTGTGAGAGCGTGTGAGTGTGAGAGCGTGAGTGTGGGAGCGTGTGAGTGTGAGAGCGAGCGTGTGTGAGCGAGCATGTGAGAGTGTGAGAGCGTGTGCGTGAGTGGGCGAATGCGCGTGAGTGTGAGAGCGAGCGCGTGAGTGTGCGAGCGTGAATGGTGCGATGAGCTATTCGCAAACGTCCGTTGAAGGCGACGCGACACGTGGGCCGCTTGTGCCCACGAGGTAACGCGCGCGGGATGTTGTGATTCGTAGCCGCTCGCTCGCTCGCTCGCTCGCTCGCCGGCGCAACTTGCCCTCAAAGTCCTGCGTAGCTACGCGGGGCGGCAAAATCTTTTGGTCGTTTGTGCGGAGCGTGTACATACGCGTGCTAGGGAGACAAAGGCGGCCGGGCGTGGTGTTGGCCACCCCCACAACCCCCTCTGGCGTGCCACTGCCGGCCTTACTCGGTGCTACTCGCTAACGACGCTCGCCCAGACGGTCTCTGAAGGGCTCTACCGGGGGGGACCTCTGACTCGTGCCTACGTGCGCGCGTGTCCGTGCGTGCGCGTGTCCGTACGTGCGCGTGTCCGTACGTGCGCGTGTCCGTACGTGCGCGTGTCCGTACGTGCGCGTGTCCGTACGTGCGCGTGTCCGTACTGTGCGCGTGTCCGTACGTGCGCGTGTCTGTACGTGCGCGTGTCCGTACGTGCGTGTGTCCGTGCATGCGGACCTCTGTGACGGAAACCCTCCGTATCCGTAAATCATTTCTTGTACAGGTGTGAGCGCGCGTGTCGATGCGCCGTGCGTGTGTGTGTGAGTACGTGGTATTGAGTGAGGGAGCGGCGGTGGTAGTGTTTGGCGAACTGCACTACGAACCCGGCCACATCGGTGACGATTATCTGAACCGGTCCCGGGCCTCCCCTAGGTCGACTCGGCCTCAAGCGAGTACCTGGTACGGTGCGTAAAACCATCGCCCCCTCGTGTGCCACAGTGCCGGTCGCCTTCATAGCAGCTGCTGCTGCTACTCGCTAACAGCACTTGCCCCGACAGTCTGTTACGGTCTGCACGTGTGCTGGTGTTGACTCTGCAGTCTTTGATGATGCTACCTGTGCCCCGAAAAGCCTTGCGTTGTTTGCAGGGTCTTTGTGTTGAATTGTTAAAAAAAATATATGATAAACTATTAATCTGGTGTTTGCTTAAATCCAGGTTTCAACACCCCCCCACCCCCCACGCCTGCGAAACTTCTTGGTTGCACGCAACTCTCTCACTGCTTGTTTATAATCGGTCTGTTTCGCTGCGATTTGTGCGTGTCTCTCCGCTCGGTGGAAGGGGGAGCATCGGTCGAATCGCTTCTGCAGCCCGGTCACGTGCAACTTGGCTTTGTGCAGCTTCGTTAGCGACGTTGTTGCATGCAACTTGGTTGTACAAGTTGCATGCAACTTGGTTGTACAAGTTGCATGCAACTTGGTTGTACAAGTTGCATGCAACCGAGGTGGCAACTCGGTTGCATGCAATCACGGGCAAAGCATAACAAGAAATCGTGAGCGATGGCTGCGTGTTGGTGGTGGTTGTTGTCTCTGTTGTTGGTTGTTTCTGTAGTTGAAGCCGCGCATTTTGAAAACTGGAACCAAAAATAAGGGAAGACTGTTATTTTGTAATAAACCGGGGGGGGGGGGGGGAGATGCCTACGGGCAGTGCTGAGTCTGTGGGCAGTGTTGAGTCTATGGACAGTGCTGAGTCTATGGGCAGTGCTGAGTCTATGGGCAATGCAGAGTCTGTGGGCAATGCAGAGTCTGTGGGCGGTGCTGAGTCTGTGGGCGGTGCTGAGTCTACGGGCAGTGCTGAGTCTGTGGGCAATGCAGAGTCTGTGGGCAGTGTTGAGTCTATGGGCAATGCTGAGTCTATGGGCAGTGTTGAGTCTATGGGCAATGCTGAGTCTACGGGCGATGCTGAGTCTACGGGCAGTGTTGAGTCTATGGGCAATGCTGAGTCTACGGGCAGTGTTGAGTCTACGGGCAATGCTGAGTCTACGGGCAATGTTGAGTCTACGGGCAGTGCTGAGTCTGTGGGCAGTGTTGAGTCTAAGCCATTACCTGTCAACCCCATCAGTGCCTAAATGGTTTTGCCCGTATTGAAACGGCTGCACGCCGTATGGATCTGAAAACTAAATCTCCCTGTATAAGAATACGATGAACTGTTTAGGTTAACAGGGTTATGTCAATTAGTTTGTTTTCTAAATCCTCTGGAAGTTTTTTTTTTACCCCCTCCGTTGATGGTGAAATCTGATTTGGTTGGGTTGCCTCGTCCTTGAATTCTGATTGGCTGGATTGGCTGAAGGTATCTTGCTCATTTGATTGGATGGGGTGGCGGGGGGGGGTTAACACGCTCAATGCTGATTGGGTGTGTGTCTGATGCCTTTCTTAATTGTGATTGGCTGAGATTCCTCTTGCTTTACTGTAAATTGTGATTGGATAACAGCGCTTGGAACTCGACTATTGGCTGCTGTATACCGTGCTCGATTATCATTGGCCGGGAACTTATTGCACAACTGATTGGCTAAGATGTCTGTTTTGTTTACGCGTTCGCGATTTGGATGGCTTTCTATCACCAAACTGATTGGCTGGGGGGATGACCTCGTGCTGAATTCTGATTGGACAGCGCTCACTCAAACATCCGATTGGTTGCTAAACAATTGGGAAAATTCTACTTAACCTTGTCATCGTAACCGTGTTTGTGTACATTGCATTTGCAAAAAAAAAAACGATTATTTTAAGTTAGTAGCTTTTTAGTTATTCTTATTTTCGTCATTATAATTATTGTCCATTGTCGTTGACTTGGTGGTGGACTCTGCCGTGATCGACCCTCTACTCTGGTCATCGACCCTCTCTGCCTCCGTGTTTGTCCATCGTGTGGGTTGAGTGCTGCCGATGCGCGCCGCGTTGTGAAAGTTTGAGGCAACCCTTTCCCACCACCCCAAGTTGCCCCCAACCCGAGATTAAACCTGCCCTCCGCCGCTCATGCCGACCCCGTCTGCGCCTCTCTTGCCTCGGGGTTTGTTCTTGGCTCGGACCGTGACGCTCGCTAGACTGGCGTGTGTACACACTTGTTTATATATACACACACGTGTTTACATATGTATACTAACATGTCAACATATGCACATAAACATGTTTACATATGCGCACGAGTTAACATGTGCGCACACACGTGTTTACATATTCACACACGGACGTTTACATATGCACACACACACGTGATTACATATGTAGTGTAGGACTCTGGAAACAATAATTGTAGAGGCACCTTTATTAACACACCCGAACTAGACTGTACACTCGCCACTCGCGAGCCTGAGCACAACACTCGCCGCCCAGCATCGACGGCGCTAACTGAATAGACAGCTGGCTCACGATCTCGCAGTGGCGACGTCGACCGACGACAAAGACGACAGCTACGACGAGACGATTTGACTCCCACCAACAGCCTCGAGCCACGGCTCTCGGCTCCTTTTATCCTCCCAGCGTGGCCCGGCCCCGCCCCGGCCGTGTCCCCCTTCTCGAACCCACTAGAAGGTTCCAGGAGCTTCTGGATGGACCCCCTCCTATGACCCTTGCCCCAGTTCTTCCACTCCGCCGACACGCCCCTGTAAACTGTCGCTCACTTGCGTGTGTACTGTTCATACACCGCAGTTGCCGCTTCTGGTCACCAGCCGGCACTTGTTACACTACATCACCCCCCCCCCCCCCTCAGTTCTTAAAAACAGCCGTCCCTGGCTAACACTTAGCAATGAGCCAGGTGATTAGGGCAGAGTAATACTCGACAGCAACGTGAGTAGGGCGGAACAACAACCCGCAGCAACTGACAATGTAAAGATAAGGAGATTAGGGCAGATCAACTCCGCTGAAGTAACAACAACGCGGTAAATGAAAACACTCCGAGGGTGAGGGAATAAAAAAAAAAGACCCGTCGACCGACGAACACAACCCTGACGCACACGCGAATAGACAACGGCAACAACCGCTCCAACCAGAGGTCGTAATCGGGTACCCGTTTGTGACCCCGGTGCGGCCGGTTACGGGTAGGCCGTGAGTCACTGGTGAGTAACCGTTTGTCACTCATTTCCCAACGTCTTGTCTCTTCTCACAATTCAAGTTCCTAGAATCAACCCACCCGCGCCTGCAACATGGCTTCATCCCAGAGGTCGCAATCGGGTACCCGATACCCGTCCCCTACTCGATACCCGGCTGGGTACGGGTAAGGAATCGAAACCCGTTTGCGACCTCTGGCTCCAACCGACCGCAACACACCACATGGCGAAGGGAAAACCGTCGAGCAACAACAAACAACATTTTACGACCCCCCCCCCGACGCTCGTCCCCCTTGTAACCGACCACGGCATTAGAACGTAGCCCACTTGGATCGGGTCCTGGATGCCGGCCCCCCGTCCTGGGCGGGGTCTTGTACTTCTTGGGGCTCCGGGGACTTGCACAAGCGGCCTAAAGGACGCGGCCCCTCCCTGGACTCGACTGAAGAGTTCGACTGGGCTCCAGCCTTCGGTCCTTCGCACAAGGCTGCTTCGGGAGAATTTGCGGAGCTTCAGAGGCTCTGATCCTGCGGGTGGCACAAAAATTTTTTCTGAAGCGCAGCATCCGGGACGGGCTGCCCTGGCTCGTCAGACACATCAGACACCGGTCGTACGGGACTTGGGGATGAGCTGTCTACCTGGGACTGAACGCAGCGCTTCAAGCGCGACGGGGGAATGAACCGACGGCGATGCCCCGCATGTTTCCGCCAGAGGTCGCAAACGGGTTTTGATTCCGTACCCGGCCGCACCAGGGTCGCAAACGGGTACCTGTACCCAGCCGGGTACGGGTAGCCGGGTATCGGGTAGGGTACGGGTATGGGGTACCCGGTTGCGACCTCTGGTTTCCGCACGCACTGCGTTCGTCGAACCTCCACCGCCTCAACGGGGACCCGCCATGGCCAATGTAATTTGGGGGATGTACCTGGCGGCACCCGAGGGCAGTGCAACCAAGCCTTGATCCCGGCCTTCCATGGGAGCACGTCCTCCCGCCGCCCCGTGCTCTTTTCGTGAGCAGCGGGATGTTCCCTCGCTGCGTCGCGCGCCTTGGACAATCGTGCAAGCGTAACCTGCATGGGTGTAGGTATAGCGGCCTTCTTTTTCCCTGCAGCCATGCCCAACTGAGCTCCATGGGGGTTTCGTCCTCTCGCCCATACATAAGATAGGATGGGGAAAATCCCGTCGAGGCGTGTGGGGCCTTCCTGTATGCCGCTAGGACCCCCCGGGATGCACAAATCCCAGTCCGTCTGCGCCTCATGAACCGCCTGAAAGAGGCATCGATGTTAGGGCCCTGTGCAGGCATTCTACCATACCGTCCGTTTGAGGATGGTACGGCGACGTTCTAATCTTTTTGGTGCCCAAAGCATCGCGATCCTCCAGCGGAAGTTTCGACGAGAAATTCCGCCCCCGATTCGTGAGAAGCTGCTCAGGTGCTCCCATGTCCATCGCACAGACGTGCACAAATGCATCGGCAATGGCTGCTGCAGATTGGTCTGGTCGTGGCCAAGCCGCTGGCCACCGGCGAAAAATATTCCACACCGACCAGGACAAATTTCGATGTAAAGCTTTCGTGACTGCAGGGATTCAACTTTTTAGTTCTTTCGGTAAAGTCTTGTAGAAGGGAAATAATAAAAATAAAGCATAATAAAATAATTCTCACGACGTTTCGGCCACAACGCAAGCAGCCGTCCTCAGGTGAAGAACAGGTCTGTCGGGAAGACAGCGTCTCATTCAGACGTCATTCAGACGCTGTCTTCCCGACAGACCTGTTCTTCACCTGAGGACGGCTGCTTGCGTTGTGGCCGAAACGCGCCGTGAGAAAAATTGTATTGTTTTATTTTTATTATTTTATTATTTCCCTTCTACGTGACTTTACCGAAAGAACCAAGAAGATGTTTTATTTTTATTAGTTTATTATTTCCCTTCTACGTGACTTTACCGAAAGAACCAAGAAGATGTTTAATTTTTATTATTTTATTATTTCCCTTCTACGTGACTTTACCGAAAGAACCAAGAAGACATGACAAATGTGTTTCGCCTTTGGGTAGCCGGAAACGGCCCCAGAATGCCGAACGCAACCGGCTCGTTAATTCGGGACACGGTGATGGACTGCAATGGAGGGCTGAGCCCTTCTCAACGGTGGCTTGCGGCGCGCACAATCGGTGCAGCCCTTGACCAGATGGTACACATCGTCTGACATACCCGGCCAATAAAAATCTCGCTGCAGCCTCGACAACGTTTTCTGGACTCCGAGGTGCAAGTACAGTGGAACCTCGGTATACGTCGTTAATTCGTTCCAGAAGGTAGGGGGGGTCTTATACCGGAAATGACGTGGATACCAAACGAATTTTTCCCATAACATATAAAGGGAAAGGAAGTAATCCGTTCCAGAGGAAAATAAATAATATTTTATGCGGCATAT